TTTTATATTATTAAGTACTTACTTCCTTAATGTCCTTGTTTAATTGTTCCTAAAATAAGTAAAGCGTTATTAAATATAATAAATAAAAATAATTAAGTATATTAAATATTACAACACTTACTATTAATTTTTTCAAAGATTCCATCTAAAAACAATAAATTAATCAAAATATACATGGAAATTTTGTATATAAATAAATAATGCACGGTTCTAAGAGGTCATTTTCCAACTTTTTCTTTAAAATAATAAATAAAAGAAATCATGTATTTTCTTCCTAAGGTCTTTTTTACTTTGCTCGATTATTACTTACAGTAATTCATATAGGGGATTTTTGCTTTAAAACGCAATAATTTTATAAAATCATTAATAATTAATTAACAATTTTAATTTTTTGAGGAAATGAAAGGAAAATATGGTACTTTTAAACAAAAAAAAAGAATTCATTTATGTCCATAGTAAGGTCTTTTTTACTTCATTCAATTATTACTATTATTGTATTTTTATTAAAAATGGCATAATAAACAAAATATCAGTGATAATTTTCATTTAAAAAAAAAGAATTCATTTATGTCCATAGTAAGGTCTTTTTTACTTCATTCAATTATTACTATTATTGTATTTTTATTGAAAATGGCATAATAAACAAAATATCAGTGATAATTTTCATTTAATGCATAATTGTTTAAAAGTAGGTACCATATTTTTACTTCATTTCCTCAAAAAATTAGAAATGTTCATTAATTTAAGTTTAATATTTTTTAAAAACAAATGAGGGGGCGGCACGATTAAAATTTCGATATCGGCCAAATAAGAACCACAGTATATGTATATAAATGCTGTGATAAATAATGTAGGTATATTATTTCTTAAAAGTATTTTAAAACAAAAATGTATATTGATAATTTAGCTTATTTTTGTTGTTTTTTTTTACGAAAATATGTATGTAAATATTTGTTAAAAAAAACTTTTTTTTTAAATGTAAAGGGTGTTTTCTTATAAATGGGACACTCCTATAAAATCTTTATTAGAATATCGAAAAAATTTAAAATCCAGATGCATTGTTTAAAAAAGTAATTTTTTTGACAAAAATTTAAAAACAAAAAAGCATCGGTAAATTTAATAAAATAGCATCGGCATTGTTTTTTTTTAATGAAACACCCTGTATATTTTTGAAAAACAATTCAATTGGGCTACCACTAGATCAATTCTAAATTAAAAAGAAATTTTGTAAAATTTTGAAGTTAATTGATCAGAAAAAACACGTGTCCCTGAGGGTTTTTTTTAAGATAGGTAATTTATGAAATTGTAAGTGTTATTTTTGCAGATTTTTTTTAATTCAAACATAAACCTACAAATTATATATATGTGTATTTGAAATTATAATAAAAAACTCTATCTAAATGTTCAAAAATATACAGGGTGTTTCATTGGAAAAATCAATGTTATATCTACATATCGCTCATTCGAAACAACAGTGACACAACTCAAAAATCAGTTTTTGAGAAAACGCATTTTAAATTTGTTATTACTGTTTTCCATTAACCAAGCCGGGCTAAAAAAATAAAAGCTGGGCTCAAATATTTTGGTTGTTTAGGCATACTCTCTAAAAAATAGTACCTAATAACAAATTTAAAATGCGTTTTCTCAAAAACTGATTTTTGAGTTGTGTCACTGTTGTTTCGAATGAGCGATATGTATTTCATCAATTTTACCGATGTTTTTTTGTTTTTTAATTTTTGTCAAAAATTTTTCATAAAATTATTTTTTCAAACCATGCAAGCTAGATTTTTTAATTTTTTAATTTATTTTCAAATAAAGATTTTAAAGAAGTGTCCCATTTATACGAAAACACCCTGTACATAAATATATTTTTAATGTCAATTAAAATATCAAATACCAATTAAATACATCAATTTTACCAATGCTTTTTTGTTTTTTAATTTTTGTCAAAAAATTTTCATAAAATCACTTTTTTGACCATGCAGCTGAATTTTTTATTTTTTTAATAATTATATTAATTTTTAATTTAATATATGTAATACAATATAATAATATTTTCAAATAAAGATTTTAGAGGAGTGTCCCATTTATACGAAAACACACTGTACATACATAGATTTATTTTTAATGGCAATTAAAATATCAAAAAATATCAATATTAAAAATATCAAAAACCAATTAAATACATCAATTTTATCAATGCTTTCTTGTTTTTTAATTTTTATCAAAAAAATTACTTATAATAATATGTATGTAAGTGGTACCCTATTTGATATTTTAATTGTGGTATAAATGTATAAATATAATATTATGTATGTCCAGGGTGTTTTCGTATAAAAACTTTATTGAAAGAGAAATTTAAAAATCCAGCTTGCATGGTTTAAAAAGTAATTTTTTTGATAAAAATTATTATTATTATTACTAATAATAATTATTAATTAACTATCTACCCACTTTATCTAATTATTATTTATAATAATTAATAATAATTATTATTAATTAATTATCTACCCAATTATTATTTAATTATCATTTAAAAGTAAAATTCTATTTTAAAAAAATATGCCTCTATGTATACATACATATGTACATTTTTAATTAAAAATAAATAAATTTCACACGTTTCAGAGGCATATTTTTTTAAAATAGAATTTAACTTTTAAATGATAATTAAATAATAATTGGGTAGATAATTAATTAATAATTATTATTATTAATTATTATAAATAATAATTAGATAAAGTGGGTAGATAGTTAATTAATAATTATTATAATGATAATTAAATAATAATTGGGTAGATAATTAATTAATAATTATTATTAGTAATAATAATTATATAATGAAATAGAATAGAAATTACCTCTCAGAACAGCACTAGGAATTGTTAATAAATAAATAAATTCTTTTGGTTACTTACTTTACTCAATGATGAAATAATAAACCACTAAATTCAGACACAAATAATCCTAGGACAAATAATATTATGACTGCAAATAAAAAATTGTGTTGTCGTCTCGTTGCTAAGCGACGAGTTTAGTGAAAGGAGGGGTAAGAAGCTCGCGTGGGAGATCGGAATTTCAAACAAATACCCCTTATTTTATCATATTTTCAAGCTTGGAACATTGGTGGGTAGATGGCGACACCTTACGGACACATTTTCTTGTAAATTAATAATAATACGCCTGGCACAGATCGTCCTACCACCTTGCGTCTCTTCACACACTTTACTCAATGGTGATATTTTGGCTTGTAAAGACAGCGTTGCCGTAATTAATAATTTTATAACTACCTGTCAGACATTTTTTAGTAATTTTTTTGCTTTGTCGTGAGAACAATTTTTTAATTTTAATTTTTGTCATTAGAAATTTGTTATCTATAGTTTTATATAATTAAATATATAATCTTAAATCATGTAGAAAATAAAAATAAAATTTAATTTTATAAACAAAATTTCATAAACTTACTAATATTACAAGTATAAAATAAACAAAAACCGCATTTTAATGTTAGGAAAAAACAGTTTTTTTTAATGTATGTATACCAGAACACCAAGGCTATTTACTTATTACGTCACAAACGTCAAATAGAAGAAACGCGAAAACCAAAAAAGTAAAGCAGATTCTTTGGAGGAAAAATAATGTCGAAGGAATTAATCCAGGTGAAATTGGGCGCACTCCTGTCCTGTGCTCCAGACTCAATCCCACTTCCACACGGGCAGGTCAACCTGGAGCGAACGAGTACGTCCCGTCGAAAAGCGGTCAACAGTTTACAGGTGTTTTTTCGATGTGCCCTCGCCGTAACAACCGTTAAAACCAACGAAAACCTTCGAAAAAACACGTAAGTCCAACAGAAAATGCATTTTCTACGGTTTTTCCTTATTGGAGGTTATGTTTCGTTAGTCATTTGTTGATATCTGGCCTGAAACAAGTGCAGTTATGTTGAAAATTGGGTGTCCTGATTCAGAAATGTAACGTTATTCAGCCTACGTTGCGTTTTCGACGAACCAAACTGTTTTGGTGTGTTATAGTGCCTTTTCTCACCCTGAGTGCAGTGATGTAACGTTTTTATCCTAAATAAACGATTTTTCGCGTTTTGTAAGTGCATTTAATATAGGTTAAAGTTGCTTGTCTGATAACTCTCTTCCTTTTTTTAATTGGCATTAAGGCAACTTGCCTCGCATTTAATTAAAATAGAATTTCCTTTACAAGTTACCTTTTAACCTATTTAACTGTGTGGCAAAAAAATTAGAAAGTTTTAATAGTTTCGCATAATGCTTGTATTTTGTAATACCGCACTTGCTTATTATTTATACTGGATAAGTTTGTTCACCTTTGCAGGCCTATTTAATTTTTACAAATTAAATTTGTTTTATTTACAATTTTTTTCGGCATTCCGTCTATGCTGCGATTTTTAATTATTTCATTTCTAATTCCACACAATTTAGTTTAAGTGCTATTTTTGATAAAATTAATGATCATTGATAAGAGATACAAGATAATAAGAATTTTCGCCAAATAAGTAGATATACAGGGTATGAATCAAAAATTACAGGTAAACAATTATCTGTATTTTAACATTAATTTTTTACTTTGCATAGGTAAATACATTTAATACAACTTTTTATTTAAAATGCCTGTTTTTAAAAGTATTTACTTGAAAAAACTAAAAACGTGATTTTAAATTTAAAACAATCGTTTTTTGTGTTTTAAACCATTTTTTAGTAATATTTTCAAAAATAATGTTTTATTTTTTTATACAGGGTGTCCCGAAAATACTTCGCGATAAGTATAAAAAAGTTATAGATTTTTTTCTCACAAAATTGATTTTTTTTGTTATTTTTGAGACTATATTTATATGTATTTTTATAAAACAATAAAAATCATGTTCTAAGAATTTACAAATAAAAAGTAGGTACTCATTTCTTCCCTTAAACCCTTTTTAAGGTGTTGATGGATGCTTTAGGCCGCTTCTGCACGACCAGTGACCTGCCGCGGTGATAATGGGCGACCCAGCGGCCGAAAACGAAGCCGACTCTGGAACGGCGACTTCGACGCGTCCGCCGGTAGACGACGCCGACGACCAAAACGACGCCGAACGTGTTACGGCATCGGGCACCAACTACGATTCCGGCGAAGCACCGCAGAAATGCACCAGGCAAGTTATTTGTTCATAAAATTGTCACTGGAAGGTTATTTTTTGGAAGTTTTAATTTTATTTTAATATCATTAGAATCCTCTTTTAAAACCCTTTAATTTGATGTATCACATGTCATGGTTTGAGTTACTTTAAGATTAAGGTAGTTTTGTAACACCCGGTATATTAAAATGCTAAAATTTTAAAACTAGGGCATGTGGGGTATCAAATGATCGGTCTTGAAGAGTAGATTACAAATATATGTATTTTAGATGTGATTTCGAAGCTCCAACGGCTGCAGCGTTGACTGCCCATGTAACACAAGCACACACAACAAACGAGGTTGAAATGGAGGTGGAAAATAACAATCCGCCCCCTGACAGGATGCACAGGAAACTATTTGAATGTGATGTTTGCAATATGAAGTTTTCGAATGGTGCTAACATGCGGAGGCACAAAATGCGTCACACTGGCGTTAAGCCTTACGAATGCAGGGTTTGCCAGAAGAGGTTTTTCAGGAAAGATCATTTGGCTGAACATTTTACCACACATACTAAAACGTTGCCTTACCACTGTCCAATATGCAATAGGGGTTTTCAGAGGCAGATAGCTATGAGGGCGCATTTCCAAAATGAACATGTTGGGCAGCATGACCTCGTAAAATCATGTCCATTGTGTAGTTACAGGGCTGGATCCATGAAAAGCTTAAGGATCCACTTTTTTAATAGGTAAATATTAGACTGTGCCAAAAAAATTATCTATTTTTTTTTTAAGTATATCGAAAATATGGTTTGGGGTGACAAAAAAAATTACTGTGAAAGTTTGAGTCCATATTATTAATATTAAGATGTCTATCATCGCAATTTTAATTTTTTGTTTCTCGGCAAGTTTTTGTCTCGGAACTCTCAAACCATCGAGTTTAACAAAATTGACTCACATAAATTTTTTTAATAAAATTAAATGCTCCACAAAAAAGGTTAAATGAAACTTTCCGTCAGATGAACCGTTTCCTTAAAATCATGCCTTAAAAATTGCGATAGTTTTACATTTTGGAATTTTGTAATTCATGTAAAAATCAGTACCCAGAAAAAAACCGATGAATATTCTTATGGGAAATCAAATGCTTTACAAAAAAAGCCTCTTAACATTTTTGGCTAAATTCATTCAATCAAAAGTTATGCAAGATTAAAGTTGAAGTCAAAACGAAATTCTTGTTTTTTCCTCTGTAGATTTTTTTTTATGGATGACAATTTGATTTTTTTCTTTATAAATGTGTATTATATAACTAATTAACAATTTCCAATAAAAAAACAACATGATTGTTATTATTTAAACGAGTGAAAACAATATTTTGTGAAGAAAATAGCTTCTTAAAGCGAAATTGTGTTATTTTTTTTTAATTTTCAGTTATTTTATCAATAACATAAAGATTATCATAGATTAAAGAATCCAAGTTTTTAACTGACCCAAAAAAAAATCTAGAGCGGAAAAAACGAGAATTTCGTTTTGAAATTTGACCTTGAATAACTTTTGATGGAGTGAATTTAGCCAAAAATGTTAAACAGACTTTTTGTAGAGATTTGATTTCCCATAAGAATATCTATCGGTTTTTTTTCCGGGTACCTACTGGTTTTTACATGAATTACAAAACTCCAAAGTTAAAAGATCAAATTGTAAAACTATACCAATTTTTAAGGCATGATTGTAAGAAAACGGTTCATCTGACGGGAAATTCCAATCAAACCTTTTTTGTAGAGCATTCAATTTTATTCAAAAAATATTCTTAAGTCAATTTTGTTACACTCAATGGTTTGGGAGTTCTGAAACAAAAACTCGCTCAGAAAAAAAAATCTAAAATTATTAATTAAATATTAATATTATGGAGTCAAACTTTCACCATAATTTTTTTTGTCACCCCAAACAATATTTTCAATATACTTTACAAAAAAAATTGTCGTTTTTTTTTGGCCCAGTCTAGTAAACATACTTTATACAAATTTTTTATAAACTTCTATAAAAATTCCTTTAGACACGGCATAGATCTGGACAACCCTGGTCCGGCCGGCTCGTCGGCCTCGCTATTGGCCGCCGCCGCCCAGCAAGGCTTCCCATTGGACGGCTTGAGTCAGCTGACCAGCAGCCTCTCGGTGAGCGTGACAGGCGGCAACGCTGCAAACTACAGCGACTCCGGCGACTCCACCGGCGCCAGGTCGACCGACAACGCGACGCCGCCCATGCACTTTTTGACGCCCCACGTGGAAATTTCCATGGCCGATGCCCCCGCCCCCGTGTTCAGTCCGTCGCTGGTGAGTCGAGGTTTTTCGGGTCGCTTTTGGCGGGGGATTTCATTTGATACCCCACTCGAGGGGGTTTTAAAAAAATTCGAATTTAGTATACAGGGTGGCTCAAAATCACCCTTATTTTAAAAGTGGTTGAAATGCGTCGAGTTTGCTTGCTTTTGGCGGGGGATTTCATTTGATACCCCACTCGAAGGGGTTTTAAAAATTTCGAATTTAGTATACAGGGTGGTTCAAAATCACCCTTATTTTAAAAGTGGTCGAAATGGGTCGAGTTTGGTATCAAATTCAAGGGTTTTAAGTGGAGATTATAAATATATTGTAATAATTGTTGTAGAGTGAACAAGGTCGTTCGAATCAGCCCGGTCAAAGCGGCGAGAATCAAAGAGTTAACGGAGAGAGTCCCGGCTCACCTCAGTCGGCGGATTCGAACTCTAACGCGCCATCTAGCAGCGTACTACAAAACAACTTAATGAGAATAGACCAAGAAACCAATATTACACCGTCTATTTCGCTTATACCCATAAAACAAGAGCCTAACGAGGAGTACGATTCGTCAAAACGAAATGGGTGAGTTGAACAATATTAATTAAAAAAAATCCTTCAATAACGTCATAATTTCTTACTTTACAGTGTTGCAACATCTCCTTCTGGTAGCGTACAACTGCAATCGGCGACATCCAGCAGTCTGAGTTCGTTAATAAAAGTTTCCCCGTTGAAGAGTTTGTTAAGGGAAGATTTGAAACGTAAAATAAATTCAAGGTCGTCCGCTAGAGGTCGCAGCACGGCGTCTCCAAATAATAATTCCGAAAATTCGCAAAACGATGCCAACAATACCAATGGTACTATAACATCCACAGGTAAGTGTTTTGACAGTTAAAAATGTCATTAAACTGTGAAAAAGATTTTCAGTAGTTTGACATTTTAATTAGTGCGAAAATATCATTTAACTGACAAAGTATATATAACAGGTTGACATTCGTTCTTTACTTTACTTCACACACAAATATGAATGAGGAATGTGGCCTTTTGTTGACAAGGAGTTGAGGTTTTTTTTTGCAGAAAATAAACATATTTGGCGTTAAACTGTTAAAGAAAATGTACATTTTCAATTATAATTTGACAGATATTTAACCTCAATTCTTCAACTTTCTCTATAAAGCCGTTTTAACATTTATTAAATAATTTTTTCATTTAAAATTTTATTGGTTTAAAATGTTATTATTAACAGTTCACTTCTGTTTTAAACAATATTATTTCCAATCAATTTTTGCAATTTTTTTTAACTTGGTATCATTGTTTAATAAAAATAATTTCTTATATATAATTTATTTGGGCAGAACTTTGTAAATCTTAAATAAATTTTGTTTAAATTATTTAGGTTAAATTGGTAAAATTATTTAGTGTCGAAACATTTAAAATAAAAACACTTATAAAACTTTTTCTAACAAAATACCTAGTTTAAAAAGTTAACTTTTTTTTAACTCAAAACCATTGATAATCTAAAAATATTTTAAATATAAAATGCAAATGTAAAAGTTTAGGTTTAAAAGTTTTAAACTTAAACTTTTACATTTGCATTTTATATTTAAAATATTTTTAAATTAAAACATTGGTTTTAAAAAAATGTAGTTTTAATATTTTATTCTACAAAATTATTGGTTTAAATTTGTACCTAAATGAGAGTCAAAAAATTTTTAATACAAAAATTTTCACATTACATTTAAATGTTAGTTTTAAATTTTAAAACTTTATCGACTATGATTTCAATGACTACAAATCAAAACCGATAATTTTTTAGAATAAAATATTTGAACAAAATTTTTTTTAAATCAATATTTTTAAGCTTAAAGTTTTGCAGTTGTATTTTATATTAAAAATATTTTTTGACTATCAATTGATTTAAGTTTATAAAAATTTAACTTTAACTGTAAATTTCTGTTAAAACCTCAATAAAGTGCTAAACTAAACTATTACCTAATAAATGCTAAAACCATAACCATAAAAATTGGCTTTGCTCTTAGAAGGCTATGCTCAATACATTTGAACTACCATCTGTCAAAATCTGACATTTCCCTGTTATTTCCAGGTCCGGAACAGCCGTCCGATTCGAGCCTGTGGCGAACGCTGAGCAAACGTTCGTTGAGCAGTCTGCAGTGCATTTTTTGCGGCATCGGGTTCCCGGATCAGACCCTGTACTTTTTGCACAAGGGCTGCCACTCGGACGCGAACCCATGGAAGTGCAACATTTGCGGCGAACAGTGTTGCAACGTCTACGAATTCAACTCGCATCTGCTCAGCAAAAGTCACCAATAGGCCCTTTGATTTTGAATTGTGATCTCAGAGGGCCTAGATAATGACATTTGTGAGGGGTTTTGAGGTTATAATTGATTGTTTAAGGGTTTATTGGGGGTTGTATGGCAAAACATATTGTTTTATCATGAATTTATGACAATATTGGGTTTAAGTGAGACATTACGTATTTATTTTTGATTTTCGTACTATCCTGTGCAATATACAGGGTCTTTATTGCAAATATATCGTTGAAAATTGTTGAATTTTATACAAAAATCGTTAGAATGCCTTTTTAGTGCCTAAAGTTGCTAACCCAACTTTTGTAACTTTGAGCTTTTTGAAAAAAAGTGCCTATGAAATTCCTATTACCTGAATTTTTGCTCTATATTCCGTCCAAAATATTAAAAATTAAACTATATTGATATGTTATGTATACATACTTAGGTTTATGTAATAAGAAACGCTAATTAGTTTTTTAAGATTTATTTTATGCATTCCAGTAGATATAGATTAATTTTTAGGGAAATGTACAGTATTTATTAGCTATTTAAGTATTTTATTTCAAAATTTATTGTTTTCAAATAAAATATTTACTGTAAAAGTGCAATTATAAAAAATCAGAACTTCCAACATAATTATAACATTTTTAAGTCAAGACTGAATTATTTGCATTATTTAAGTCAAAAGCATTTATTTTTCGAAGTTCTGGTTTTTAAAAATTTATACACATTCTAAACATTCTGCCTTTATTACAAACATTCCATCAAATAAGAAGTGATTCAATTTAAAAAATGTACCTACTTATATAAATATATTTATTTATACATAGTATATGTTATACAAAAAATTGTAAATTTTATTTCTGGTGATTGGGAAAATAAAACAAAATCGATTATATTTTAACGTTTTTTATTGGGCTTGAGTACGGCCCTGTCCTCAACTATTTGTTAAAATTCCAATTTGTAATGGAGGTCAAATCTTTCATTTAAATATTTAAATGCGTTTTCCCCACCCAATACGCCAAATAGGTAAACAAATTGTGCATCTCTTTATCGAATTAAACGACTAATATTGCCGGTACCATTTTGGAAATTCAAAAAAACAAATATTACCGAATCGATTTCATTCAACTGTTTACAGTATTTGGCATGCGCTTTTAAAATAAAAGGAGAATTTTCGCCTACGTCAAACGTGATTTGAATTTGTGATGATGGAATTTCATGCGGCGTGAGGTTTTAGTGGATTTGCCACGAAAATAATTAAATATTAGGTAGAAAATTTTAAACAAAAATGAATTACTATTTTTGATGACGGACGATATGCGCTGGATGCTTTCGCCTCGTTGCCAGTGCCACTTTAATTGTTTACTAAGTTATGAATTAATAATTATTTTGAGATTCTCTGTAATATAATTTATTGTTTTGTTGATGTTGATGTAATGATTTTTTATATTATTTGTGATTTTCCCAATATTTATTGCTTTTACTATGTTTGGCGATGTAGACGCGGCAGCTGCGCGCTACCCATAATGCATAGTAATCGACGTCAATATGGCGGACGAACTCGAAAGTAAGTTAATCTAGGATAATTTCTTTAAAATTTGGGTGTCACAGTAAATTTAGCTGAATTTAACGTGTAAAATTAAAATTTCGGTATGTTGTTTAATTGTCAAGAGTGTCAGTTGAATGGCAGGTGACGTTTGCATGTTCGTTAAATTCAATTGTTTTGGTGGGAAGGCCAGGTTTAAATTTGAAAATGGTGCCTATAGCCAAATTCAAATTTTTGCCTGCGACTTAAATAAAATGCGTTTTTGGTGTTTTTGCTGGATGAATTGTGCGGATACACGTTGAATATCGATAATAGCAAGGAATTATGGTAATTAATGGTATATTTTATCTGATTTCAGATGAGTCAGCTGTGGCATTATTGGAATTCAAAAACGGACACAAAATGTCGAATTCGGAGTTGAAAGACGTCAAAGTCAAGGAGGAGATGATGGACGACGACGAATACGAAGATATGGAGATGGAGGAAGAGGACGTACCCATCCTGGGGCCTGCAGCTTTGGGGCTTCAACGAGTGGGCACGAAACCCAAACCAAAACCCCAACCGACACCCCCCACGCAGGTATTAAACGCCAGAGGCATGCCGGCGAGAATCAGAAAGAAGAACAAGCTATTCTTCGACGACGACATAGTAAACACACCCCATCACAGGGTGCCATCGGCGAAAAAACAGAAACCCACTCCGACCAAGAGATTGAAGCCCTCCACCCCCATGCGGATGAAAATGACGCCGAAGAAGACCCCCAGCAAAGAAACGAAAAGGGCTGTTTCGCCGGCATTACCCCCACCCCCACTGCAATCCCCCGATAGAAAAATAGGGCAGAAAATCGGTTTGCGGCTGAGAAACCTCCTCAAACTCCCCAAGGCGCACAAGTGGGTGTGTTACGAGTGGTTTTACAGCAACATCGATCGTTGCTTGTTCGAAGGGGAGAACGACTTCTCGATTTGCTTGAAGGAGTCGTTCCCCGAACTCAAAACGAGGGAGCTGACTAGGATAGAGTGGACGAAAATCAGGCGGATGATGGGGAAGCCGCGCAGATGCTCGCAGGCGTTCTTCCACGAGGAGAGGCTGGAGTTGGAGAAGAAGCGCAAGAAAATCAGGGCCCTGCAGCAGAGGAAAGCGACGGATTTGACGAGTTTCAAGGATCTGCCGGCGGAGATCCCCATGCAGCTGGTGATCGGTACAAAAGTGACGGCGAGATTGCGGAAACCGCAGGACGGTTTGTACACGGGGAGTATAGATGCTGTGGACACCTCGAACAACACGTACAGGATTACTTTCGAAAGGCAGAGCTTGGGGACGCACTCGGTGCCGGACTACGAGGTGCTGTCGAACGAGGCGCCGGAAACCATTTCGATATCGAGTTTCCAGAACAAGTTCCGGCCCAGGAACGGTTTGAGCGCGTTCAGTCCCGTCATGAAGAGTCCGTTGGTGTACAATAAAAAGAAGGATCCGCTCTTGTCGGGTAGCATGCTGAACAAGCCGCAGTTTGTGCAGGCGGGGGATAAGATAGGGGGATTCCCCGCTAGACTGTTAGAGAAGATGGTGCTGGTGACGAAGATACTGCACGCCAAAGAGCAGCGTATAAATCAGCTTAAAAGCATGAACTCCGATGCAGAGACCGCGATTTCTTTCGACGAGGAGATTTCGGAAGAATTCGAGCGGAAATACGCGGGCGTTTTGGTGGAGTTGGAGAAATTAAACGACGACTTGCACATTTACTTAGAGCAGATGCAGGAGCTGTGCAGGGAGATAGCGCCGGAGCCGAGCGTGGCGGCGATGCTGGCGCCCTCTTTGCTTCGCGAGAAGTGCCGCGAGGAGGCGGGGGAGATCGTGGAGCGGCACCTGGCCGACAAGAGCCCGGTGAGCAGCGCGGCCATCTTGGACCTGATCACGGACTTCACGGCGCTGATGCTGCAGGTGAAGAGCCTGGCCGACTCGGATCAGAACGCGTACGAGCTGCAGGTGCTGCAGGGCACCATGGAGCAGATCAAGAGGAAGCTGAGCCCCGGGAATCAGGGCGTGTTTCAGGGCTGCGTCGAGGTGCACATGAAGCACATAGAGGTGGGGCTCGGGCAAGGCCACGTCGATAAGATCGCCATCGCGTCGAAGATCTAATTTTGTCACTTCTGAGGTACCTTTTTGTACATTTTTTACTTTTTGTTGGTAGTGTAGTTCTCTTTTTTTAATTTATACAAAACGGCGTATTATGTCTAGATTTTTTTAGCAACAAGCAAGTTGTGCAATATTCTATAAGTATATGATTCAATCAATTTCCTTTTTTTGTCCAACAAATGAAGCGTTTATTTTATCTATAATAATTATCAATTATTGATATTTTAAAGAAATTTATCGTGTATTGTGTATTTGTATTTAATTAAAATTGTATATATTTTGAAAAACCATTTTATTTACCCCAAACACTGTTGCAACCTCAACAAATTATGGTACACATTTAGAAAAATTATGGTACATTATGGTTAGAGAAGTAAAAAACGGTTTTTTTTAGATGTGAAAAAAAACCTAGAAAAAAAAACGTTTTTTTTTGTTTTTTGTCAAAATGAAATTTTGAATAAAATACCTATATATTAATAATAAAGTGAAATGTAGAATATATTAAATTTTTCATTATTGATAATTTTGACCGAGACTAAAAAATCTGATTTCTTATTATTTGGTACTTTCCAAATTAGAAACCAGTAGCAATGTAAAACTTCTACACTAATACAAAAAATAAAAGGATAATAAAAGTATATTCTGGAATGCAGCATATTCCGCTCGAGTGAAGAGTTTGTCACACGAGCCGAAGGCGAGTTTGACGGTTTCACGAGAGCGGAATATACAATTCCAAACGTGTTTCAGACTGGAAAAACTGTGAAAAAAACCATTTGAAAAAAAACAATGAAAAAAACCTGAAAAAAAATGAAAAAAAACGGACCGTTTTTTTCAAGTCGCATCTCTAATTATGGTACGCACCAAACAAATATTATGGCACAAATTATGGTATATTTTAGGACTTTAAAATTCAAACATCTAGACCCTTTAAGAAAAGTCATATTTATTTTAACACAAACTTTGATAAAATGAAATAAATTATAATTTATAAGTACAAACAAAAAAATAAACTTTGTTAAAATAATAATAAATTATTTTAAATTTAATAAATTAACACTTTTAATTAAAAATAATATCGCATTCATCACAGTCTTGATTATTGAATAAATTATCTTTAGTTATAACATATATGTATTTGCACATTTGTTCTGATCAGTATACTATAGTATACTATAGTATATATACTGATCAGAACAAATGTGCAAATACATATATGTTATAACTAAAGATAATTTATTCAATAATCAAGACTGTGATGAATGCGATATTATTTTTAATTAAAAGTGTTAATTTATTAAATTTAAAATAATTTATTATATATACTGATCAGAACAAATGTGTAAATACATATATGTTATAACTAAAGATAATTTATTCAATAATCAAGACTGTGATGAATGCGATATTATTTTTACTGAGTATACTGCTACTTTTATCCCCACAGTTTTTTAAAAATTTTGAAAAAATCAAGTATTAGTATAACACCCCGTAAATAAAAGCAACCTTGATTTATAAAAGAACTAAACTCATAATAAATTTCTCTAGTCGTTGCACAATCCAAAAACAGCATCAAAATCGAATGATTGGTTCGAAAAATATTTACCTACAAAATAATGATAAATTTACGATATGTATTGCTTATTTGTGTTTAATTAAAATTGTACATATTTTGAAAAACGATTTTATTTACCCCAAACATCCCTAATTACACCAGGTAAACTTTGAATTTCCCGCCAGTATTTAAATTTTACCACTAACGCCATCTACATCTCAGTGGCCATACGAAAACTTAGTCCCTTTGTTTCTCGTTGTTGTCGCTCAGCGCATCTTTGACATCTCACAAAAACTCAATTTTTGGCGGGGACTTAATTGCTAATTTTTAAATAGTACTTCAACAACAAAAAATGGTATTTTAACTTCCGCTTCCACGATTTGTTTCCATTAATAAATTTTGAGTTATTATAAGGGTTTATTTTACTTATGATTGATTTTTAAAGAAGTACCTATATCGTTTTTTGAGTTTTTGTATTTAAATAAAATTGTATATATTTGAAAAACGATTTTATTTACCCCAAGATCACTAAAAACTTTAAATTACACAGGGTAAGCTTTGAATTTCGCGCCATTATTCAAATTTTACCACTAACCCCATCTAGATCTCAGTAGTCCCTTATAATTTTTATTATCTAAGGTTGTCGCTCTGCGCCAATGTGACATTTTACAAAAACTCAATTTTTGGCGGATAATTTCCCCACAAACACAAACCCTCTGTTTACATCCACGGTAAGTGGTTAATTTTACAATAATTCGCAATAAATAAGGGCTTTCGACGTGTACAATCGCCTTTTAAGTGACATAACCTGTAAATATAACTTATGGCGAAAAGAACCGCAACCACCGAGTTAAATCACGATAATTGGGAGCGCGAGGATGAACCTGAAGAGGCAGGGACGTTTCAGAGGGCCACAGAGGACACCCTTAAAAAGAGGGTTATTAAATCTGCTAGAAGAAGAAACCCAGCTTCAACATTAATGAATGTGAGTATTTGTGTTTCTTTTGAATTTGTTGGACTTATTAGTGTTTTTTAGAGTGGAGATGCGGCAAATAAAGGCGCGTTTGCAAGTTTTCAGGGCTTTGGCAAAGCTGCCACTCCGGCAGCACCAAATTTTAATTTTTTGTCAAACTTGTCCAACCCCCCTAAAACTAACGGAACAACAACTCCAGATAAAAAAGACGGCACTGCACCCAAACTAATCTTTGGCAATACAAATACAAACAATACTATTGAGAAAAAAACAGAAAAATCCCAGGACTACTGGGCTAGATTAAAGGGCTTAAATGAATCTGTATCAAAATGGATTGACAAGTGGGTGAAAGAAGATCCACTGTGCAATTTACAGCCCGTTTTTGATGATTACAAGAAGTACTTTGATGAGTTGGAGCAGGACCGTCCGAAAGAATCCACGGAAAGTAAAAGTGTGGAAAATAAAAATGGTTCAAAATTGACTGAGTCAGCTTCAGCTACATTTTCTTTTGGTAGTGCTGCAGCTACTGTTGCTTCTTCAGTTAGTTTGGCAGCTGCAACTACTACCACAAGTACCACAGGGTTATCTTTTGGAAATACTAGTAAACCAATGTTTTCTTTTGGTGAGTTTTTTTATTTTGATAATGGATTTTTGAAAAAAAATTACTTATTTATGACAAAAGTTTTATTTTTATGGATTTTCAACAATTTACACTTCATAAAAAGTACTTAATATTAATAATAAACAAACAATTATTTTTCACACAAAAAAATAAAAATTTGTGTGTTGATTACACAAATTTGGTGATAAAATTTAAAAATTGGTTCAGGTTCCCACAAAAATTAACAGAGTTAAACAAGACAACCCTATTTTTTTAATAATAATAATAATAATAATATTTTTTCCTATAAGAAGGAATAAGAGGACTTGACAAAAAGTTAATAATATAAATTTAATATAACCTATGCAAAAAGAAAAAATAAAATGGTACAATTTGTAAAAACAAATTTAGGAGGTTTTTAAAATACTTTAAAGGAATATAATGCCCATTAGAGGGGTTTATTTGGGTGGGTAGTGAAATCTTAATAAAAAATTGTCAATGAAAAAAATTATAGGGCCTTTAGTTAATTAAAGGAACTTTTATAAAGGGCCATTTTAGAACCTTTGCAGTGTGTTTGCTGGGTAATAAAAACGCACAATCTTATAAAATGAGCAACAATTTAAATCTTTCTGTGATGGTTCTATACCTATAACTAAGTAAATAATAATTTACCCAACAAAAAACCTGCCACAAGAAATATTTTATTTGGTATATATTTTTTAACCTAAAAATTGTTTCAATAAGCACATTATGTAATATTTCTTGAAAAAAAAAATATTTTTAATTAAAAAAATCAAGTATGTCCCAATTTACGATTTAAGTTTAATTAAAAAAAAATTAAGTATGACCCAACTTACGAATTTAGTTTAATTTTAAATCTAATGTATAGAATATTTAAAAGGAAACGACGTACACGTCATCAATGCTAAAATCATTGCATCAAGTGAAAGTAGTAGTGCAACTACAGAGCAATAGATGGCGTTTACATGAATAATACCATAGGGTACCTAGATTTGGAACCTTAAAATACCAAAATGTCTCCACCAAAAGTATGTTTTTAGCCATTTTTAAGACATTTTCAGCTATAAAATTCAGAAATTTGGCCATCTAAAGTCAGTATCTGGTATATTCTTATTTTATGTATCCAACATATATTTTGTTAAATATTCTAATATATAATTAATAATAATCCTATTTACCTCTCTAACAGCTAACAGCAGACACAAACAAAATAAACGAAATTATACACGAATTAAACTAAATATTCAAAAACACAACTGACAGCTTCGAAATTCTAAAACGTCAAATTCTTTTTCTATGCGTCATTTTATTAAGCAAAATTTTAATCTAAACATGACAACATTGCAATTGCTGTCAACTAAAGTTGTTTAAAATGCATTAATATATTCAATTATACAGACTTCGTTTTATACATTTAGTATTGGTACCAGTGCGCAAAATTTACTATAGGTAGTAGTTTCTATGTATATTAATTTTTTGGTAAGATTTGAATTAGATTAATTAATGAATCATGCAAATAGAAAAAACATAAAGCCAAAATTAAGACAATTAAGATTATTATGGCCACCACTGTATCTTGGTATGTAATATTAGTTTTTATCTGAATACAATATATTTTTTTACTATAATCATTTAATTCCACGTATAGTTAAATTTATATCATTATTATTTTATAATTGTATCAAAAAACAAAGATAAAGAAGAATGCAAAACAAAAAATTAAAAAACTATAAAATTTACTGCGCAAAACAAAATTGGTTTTCACGGTCAATTCCTTTTCTGGCGTACGACTTTACATTTTTTGTAATTGCAGAATTTTGGATGAAAAGGAATATAAGAGTTCAAATGTTTGTCAGTTATAACTGACAAACATTTGAAACACTAGTATATTACCTTATTTTTATGAAGTAAAATTACCTACAATAATAAATGGACCAAAACAATTTAATTAATTTCTAGGGAGTGCAAATAATGCACCAACAACTACTGGCAGCGGTACTGAAAATGTCTCATTCGCCAGTACCGTATCGGCAAACTCCTTCAGTTTTGGCAGTGGAACTTTTTCAGCCCCTGTTGAAACCAAAAAGTCAAACACGGAAGAAAACAAAAATGGCGGCGAAGATGACGAAGACGAACCACCGAAAGTGGAGTACAACCCTGTAATGGAAAATGACCATGTATACACAGTGAAATGCAAATTGTTCGTTAAAAAGGACGGAAAATTCGGCGGGGGTAGCGTAGGAAACTTATTTTTAAAGAACGTAAAAGACAGCGAAAAAGTACAGTTGATAGTGAGAGCCGACACAAATCTGGGAAACGTTTTGTGTAACCTCATTTTATCCGAGAGCATTCCCACGCAACGATTGGGGAACAAAGATGTTATGTTGGTATGCCTGCCTCTGCCGGACAGCAAACCACCCCCCACCCCAATTCTGCTCAGGGTTAAAAGCGCAGACGAAGCCGATAAACTTTTAGAGGTATTGCAGAAACACAAAAAATAATTTTATTTGTAACTTTTAATATTTTCAGTGCTCAATAAATATTGTTTCAATTTTTATTAGCTCGACCTTTTATTTCTTATCCTCGGTAAAAAATAATAATGGCTAGATAAGAAGTCAATTTTCTTTTATCTATAATTGGTTTTGCAATTTAAAATTCAGTTTGCGAAAGAAATGTGCGGAAAAGTTGTTGTGTGTGTGTTTCTTTGCTTAATTTTCCTTAATAATGTTTTTGGGAACATTATTATCGACCAAATTAAGCAAAAAGCTGAGTATATCATCGACTCAGCCGCTGGGAAAAATGAATGTACATATCATTTAAAATTGCTCATCAAAGATATCATTTTCAGAAAACCATGGGCCTTAGAAAGTACGTATATTTGTTTTACCATATTGTGCTGTATCAAAAGTTGTAATTTTTTTTAAAGTGCTAGATGCAAGCGCAAAAATCCAGCCAGGCCTCTTGGCTGGAAACCTATACCAATTCGGAAACTTCGACCAATGTCTTGCAGTGTATGAAAAAACGAACAAAACTGTAATTCAAGGTCAATACTGTACTGTATTGGTGGTACCAAGTTCGAAATTTAAAGGGGAACTGAGCTTTTTATTTGAACCCCAAATGGTAAGTCACGCACCATTGGTATTTCAGATTGACAACGTACATTTCAGATAGCTGATTTCAAGAAGATTACATTGAGTACCCATGCCTTGGATATTTTAAGGGTTTTAAAGATGATTTATGGAATTTGTATTCCAAAATCTTGTAATATAAGTACATTACAGGATATTTGGGATTATATTGAACACATGTTCGGCATGACATTTCATATGGATTTTTATGATTTCACTTGCCGATATACGGGAAAACCTTTGGACCCTTTGTATTATGACAAATACGTTTAGTAAGTGTTTTTCTTGACAGTGGCGGCTCGTGGGTGTATAAGTACCCTGATAGCAAAATTTGATTTTAAGAATCTTCTAAGAAGATATGACCCGGAATAATGGAATATTCTTAGAACCTTCCCTTATTGCTAAGAATGTTCTTAGGGACTTTTAAAACATTCAATAGATACCCTTTTAATGATGCAATTAGATTCTTAAAACCTTCCTAAAAAGCATCCTAAGAACATTTTAAGAATACGTTTTTGGAATGTTCTTAGAAGGTTTCTTATGGAGCTTCTAGGAAGCTTTTGATAATATTTCCAAATATGTCAGGTACCCACGTTCTTATATGTTGTACCTATTCTACATTCGTAAAATTCTTCAGGAGACGACAAATACGCCTCACTGTCATAATATGACAGTGAAATGTATTTGTCGTCCCCTTTAAAAATTTTGCGACATATTAATATATATTTATTTAAAAATATTAAATAAACAATTTGACCTCTAAACCATAAGTTGTATGACATTATTTCATAAAAAGTAAAATTGGAAAATTTTGTGGGATAAGTCAGATTAGATTGAAGTTGAAGATAGATAGGATTATTTTACATACAAATGTTAATTAAGAAATAAAAAATCGGTATACAAATTAGTGCTGAACATTAGATCCGGATCCTTTTTCAATCCGGATCTGATCCGGATTTTTCAACGTGCATAATCCGGTTCCGGATCTATCCGGATGTAATACTCCGATTTTAGATTCGGAGCAAAGATTCGAAATATGGATCCAAGATCCGAGATCCGATTACTGGATCTTTGTAGTGCTAAACATCAGATCCGGATCTTCTTCAATCCGGATCAGATCCGGATCTTTTTCAATCCGGATCAGATCCGGAGCAAAGATCCGAAATCCGAATACACAACTGCTTAAAAGAGTTTTTTCTCAACAATAAGCTTATAATTAATAATAATAATATAATTTATAATATATATAATATCATTTATTAGTTAATTCTAAGTCTATTTTCTCCATACAAAAATATTTGGCCGCTTCTCTTTTAACAAAAACTACGTCGATTGTTCACCAAGACAAACTTAAGATGTCATAATAAGGAAATTCTTAATTGCGAAATAAAGTTAATAATTTATCCGATATCCGGATCTAAGTTCTGGATATCGGATCTTGGATCCGGATCTCAGATCTGGATCCGATATCTGGATCTTATATCCGGATATTGGATCCAGATCTGAGATCCGAATCCGGTTCCTATATTTAAATCCGGATACGGATACATCCGGATTCGGTTATTTTTCAAGGATCCCCGATCCGTAAAAAAATCGGATCCGTGCAGCACTAATACAAATTAATATATTATATATAAATATTTATTTTTAACATAAAATAAAATACCTATAGTAAATGTGTTTTTGTTATCGAATATTGTTTTAATTTGATAAATAACTATAAAAAAATATTTTGGATTGTGTTTTATACCTATGTATATACGTAGTTTATGGTATATTTTACTATTATAGGTAACTGAACTAAATATACTTAACAGGAATATTCCTAAATGAACTTTCTATAGCAATTACTTTCTTAACATTCTAAGCATATGTTTAGATTAGACTAATGTTTACCACTAAAACTTTGCACCTTCTAAGAACCTGCCTATAGGTCAGTTAGAATATTCTTAGGATCATGCTATATGTCTTTTAAACATGTTCTTTAGAAGAAATATAGCATGATCCTAAGAATATTCTCACTGAAAGGTTTAAAAAACATTCTTAGAATAAAGTGTGCTATCAGGGATATATTATACTTAATATACTTATATATTCTTTTCAACCAATCTTTAATTAAAATTATGGAAAAGCATTGCGTCGAAAGATAATACTATGCTTAATTTATGTTTCAATTACTAAACATTTTTGGTTTATTAAGCACATAAATAATTAATAACTCACAATTTTTATTTAAAAAAATTAATAACAATAGTTTTATAAAACAGGTAACCGCAAAATTTATAAAACTCCTTTATAAACCTATTGGTAACGGTTACTAAAGGCTATATAAAATGTTTGTATAAACAGTTATATAACCTAGAGTAACCTTATATGACCATTATAAAACTAGCAAACTAAATGGAGATTTTATAAAACTCTTATATAATTTGACAACTCTTATATAACCTCTGAATCAAAACACACTGCAACACAAACTGCCATCCACAACATCTTCAGTCATGTTGTATAAAACCACCAATTAGAACAAGCCCAAGCTCAAATTTGATAATAAATTAATAGACGAGCCGCCACTGTTTCTTGCTAGGAAGTTTCTTGAAAGCGCAATTTTTAGTATGTTCTTTGGAGCAGTAGCCTTATTGGTCCTGATGAGTACTCTCTATGATGTACTGATTCATCAAAAGGGAAAAGTGGAAAAAATTGATGAGAATACAAAGGAAATAACCATAAAAGGTTTATTTTAAAACAAAACAGAAATATTTAATGCAATCCTCATATTCCAGAACCTAAAGACAACTATAAAATGTGTTTCTCTGTGTACTCCAATTGGAAGAAGCTATTCCTGAACAAGGGTTTCGAAGACTCATCATCCATGACTTGTATTTACGGAATGAAAGTCCTATCTATGTTCTGGATTATACACGGGCACCGATTCGCCAGCACCGTCTTCGCTGGCAGTGTTAACGGCTTCGATTTGTACGAGTGGCGGACAAAATTCTACAACCTCTACATCATGGGAGCCTCGTTTTCGGTCGACACCTTCTTGACTCTCAGCGGGATGTTGCTCATCAGCAGTTTCCTGAAGTTTCAGCTGTATAACCCGCAAATCAAGTTCAGCTTCAAGGGATTTTATTTTTATAGGTTCTTAAGGTTAGGTCCTGGACTCCTAGCGACGATATTATTCTATATAAGCGTTCTAAAACTCTTATCCGACGGGCCCATATGGCCTATAGTTATGAAGAAGATCACTTTCAGCTGCCAGAACACCTGGTGGGCCACTTTGTTCTTTGCCACGAATTTTGTGGATATGAACTATCAGGTAATTGGAGATTAGGGTGTCCCTTATTTTTATCTTTTTTACGCATACCCTCTAATTATATTTATTACTTGTTTATATACTCCCAGTAAAAATTTCATCTCATTCTATAAACGGGAACCCGTGCCGACTTGCATCTAAACCCTCTGTTAGCCAACGTTAGGCGCGCGGTATTTTGTAACACGAAAAAAAAAGATATACTTCATGACTGTATTTTTCTAATGATTTTATTAAATATGATTACTAATTAATATTATTGCTTTTTTTTCTATCATTTGTTTTACTAATTTAGTTGATTTTATCCCTTAAATATTTTAATATACTAATTAGTATTGCTAAAATATACTGTTATATGAAATTTTAGCTTTTTATAAGCATTTCTTTTCTTGATGTCCTCCCAGAAATATTTCAGACAGTTCAATAAGTTTTCGGTAGTCATCTCTCACAATAGACTCCTTTAGTTATTTAGAGTAAAACCCATTAAGTTTATTAATTTCAGAGTTTACGGCCTATTCACCAGACCCTTCCGGGTAACTAGCCACTCCCTGTGAAAATGTACATTTTTATCAAAGTATACACATAAATAAAACTATATTTTAACATTTGTCAATAATTTATAATATAAGGGTCAAATAATAACAAACACAAAATGACTTACGATCGAAGACCTCGCGACCAACCGTGTTACAAAATACCGCGCGCCTAACGTGGCTAACGGAGGGTTCAGATGCAAGTCGGCACGGGTTCCCGTTTATAGAATGAGCTGAAATTTTTACTGGGAGTATATAAACACGTAATAAATATAATTAGAGGGTATGCGTAAAAAAAATAAAAATAAGGGACCCTAGATACCTCAAATATTATATTTTATTTTATTTATTTAATTCATTTTAGTGTGTTGAGCAATCTTGGTACTTGGCTGTGGACTCACAGTTGTACTTTATATCGCCTATAATACTTTTGAACATATCAAAATACCCGAAAAAGGTTTTTGCTGGGATGTTGGTGACTCTAATAGCTTCATCCGCATATGCTTATTATATCACCATTACGTACAATTTAGGAGCTGTATATATGAAGTAATATAGCTATTTACTTTGACTGGTTACAATTTTAATAATAAACTCTTTTAGCGGAAATAAAGACTACCATCAATACATTTATCAACCGACTCATATAAGAATAGCCGCGTGGTTGATTGGTTTAGCCTTTGGCTACCTAATTTTTTACTACAAATCATTTAAACTATCCAAAAAGTTGCAAGTACTTTCGTGGTCAATATGTATTGGAACTGTAGCATTTATTCAATACATCCATATATTTTTCACCTACGAGTATGATCCATATATATCAGCCCTGTTTAACGCCTTCACTAGACCCATGTGGGCTTTTGCAATATCTTCCATGGTATATCTATGCATTAGCGGAAATGGAGGTATTACAGAAAAATGAAAATAATTTAGTTGTTTAATATAATTTTTTTGTTTAGGTGTTATAAATGAGTTTCTTTCATGCCACTTTTTTAAAATCATATCCAGGTTAACCTATAGCATGTACTTGACCCATTTGGGCGTATTAGCATATATGATTGCTCCCAGGAGACATTCCGAACATTTCAGCACATTCAAATGCGTAAGTATTAGGGTGTTTCATTTGAAACGAAAATTTTTTTTTTCTTGCTGACACATGAAAATTTTGTTTTTAGGTTGAAAAAAAATTCCCTGAAAATTTGAGCCCTTAACTTTTATTCTAAGGACTTCCTTTTTAATTTTGTAGTTTAAGCATGTATTTTTAATCATTTTTACTTTAAATTTCTATATTTTGGCCGGGTTTTGAATTATAATTTTTATTACCATAATTTCCTGCATAGTATTCACGGTTTTTGAAAGGCCCTGCATCAATTTTGTTTTTTATTTATTTACGTTGATTGTAGTAGCTCCAAAAGTCGTTTTTTCACTTTTTCTCACATATTTTTGAGAAAATCGAGCAAATGACTGATTTTACCGAAAAAGTTCAAATAAAAAAGTTGTAGGAAATTTAATTTTTGACAAAAAAGGTTTTCACGTTCATATCACTAAAGTGCTTTGTTTAAGAGATATAAGCAATTCAATAACCAAAAACAAAGAAAAAATAGGTTTTATTGAAATTTATGTATATGTAATTTGATTTAACAACTATATATTGCTTATATCTCTTAAACAAAGCACTTTAGTGATATGAACGTGAAAACTTTTTTGTCAAAAATTAAATTTTCTACAACTTTTTTATTTAAACTTTTTCGGTAAAACCAGTCATACATGCTTTTTATATGACTATTTCCCTCGTCTTAATTTTCACCAATAACAAACGCGCAATTTTGAATTACAAATGGTTTCTAGGTGAAAAAACTGTGTGACAGCACCTGTCAGCAGTTTATTCAAGTTTACCCGCGGCAAAACTTGACAGCTGTTGTCACCAAAAATTGCAATTTATATTTTAATTGTTAACTGTTACTCATGAAATAGTCTTGTCAAATACCATTCGGGCATTTAATTTTTCCTGTGAAAAAAATCGAAAAAACACATTGCTAAGTAATATTTTTTAACAAAATGCATTCGTGCAGGTGCAAAAATCCTCCTCTTCGACTCGGATTTTTGTTGCCACCAGCACTCATGCTTTTTGTTAAAATATTACTTAGCAACGTGTTTTTTCGATTATTTTCGGAAAAAATAAATGCCCTTATGATATTACTTACGAAAAAACCACAAAATTAAAAAGGAAGTACTTAGAATCAAAATTAAGGGCTCAAATTTTCAGGAAATTTTTTTTTCAACCTAAAAAACAAAATTTTTATGTGTCAGCAACAAAAAAAATGTTTCGTTTTAAATGAAACACCCTAGTAAGTATACATATAGTTTACATACTTCAGTAAAGTAAGAGCATGGGTAAGTGACACAGCAAAACATAGAAGTTTGTATCTTTTTCAGTGGCACGACTTTTTTGGTGACATGGTTTTGATTTTGAGCGTTTCACTGGTGATGTGCTTAACTTTTGAGTACCCGATGATCAGAATTGGAGGTTTGATGTTTAGAGCAGGTAGAACTAACTTAAAAAAATATAAACACCCTTATATATATATATAAATATATATATTTTTTAGCCCCCAAAGCTCAAACTGTAGGTACCAATACAACTCCAAACGAAAAAGTGCAATACGTTGTGAGTGTGATACCACTGGAAAGCTTGAAGAAAAAAAAGAAACTTAAGAGTACATGATATCTTTAAATAAAGTATTATGTATAAATTTAAACTATTTTTATTTTAACCTATAAATATAGTACGAGTAATTTAAGTGTAGGTATGTAGGTACTTAAAACGTGCTATATTAGCATTACATGTAAATATAGCGATAACTAAATAAAACCGTTTTTAAAGTAACAAAATTTAGTCACTCCTTCACTTACAAGTCATAATGCATCTAAGCATATTCATTATCTTAACCCTTGGCGCTAGATTTGGCGCGGGCCAAATTTTGCCAAAAAGAGTTTTGGAGACTTTTAGAGACGTTGTAAGGGAACAATCGGATGGGGCGTTTTTTACGGAAGAAAATATGGAAATATTGAAACAATGGGTGATCGACAACGAGATGGAAGAGGCAGCTGACTTAATAACGCTGCAGAATTTGAGGCAAATTCAACGAGCCAACAATTTTGCTTTCGATGACAAAATAAATGGAACTGAAATTGTTGACAATGGTTTTACAAATAAGAGTCTATCTGAGAGGATTGCGCAAAAATTTAATAAAACCATCGAGGAAAATGAGTGTTTTCGAGACGTTCTTTCTTTATTTTCTCCTGAAAATAAAGGAAGTCTTGTAAATAGTAAGTAGATGGAAAAAATGTACTTTTACATTTTAAAGTTATATATATATATATAAAACATTTTGTTCTGCTAGTGTTGGATGCATCAGCGAAAATTCCACCGGGGATTTTTTATGGAAATGTGTTTAGTATGGGAAACTATGATCAGTGTCTGAATGTAACTGGAAAAATCGCGGGAAAATATTGTACAGTTGCCTTGGAAATTAAAAATTTTTCTGACGTAGGTATACTCTCTTAAAATGAAATAGTCTAAATTCTACTATTTCAATTAGTACCAGTATTTTTTACTAATAAAATAGTCGTTTTCACTTTTAAATAGTTTTTTGGTTAATTTAAGATTAGTCACCATCTTTGACTATTTCTAAGAGTTAAAAGTAAGTAATTTCTTAAATAATATATTCAACTTTAAAATATTATGAACAATATTTATTGACAAATAAAATTTATTTTTATAAGAGTGGTTGATATCCACATTGGTTATGACAACAGCTTGACAAGCGGCAGACCTGAGTTCAATCCCCGGCTAAGTCAAAACTTTTTAAATTTTTTAATTAAATTTACTAATTTGACTATTTTATTCAGTAGAATTTAAGTAATTATGCAAATATGACTTATAATTAGTTATTTGTGATTAATTCATTTTAAGTAGGTATACCTACCTATACCTATTACAATTTTAATTAAATTGATTTAAATAGTTCTCCGATATATTAAGATTTTCCTACGGAATTTGTTTACCATCCAGATGCAATGCGTTGAATTTAAATAATTTTTTAAAGTCCATGAGGAAAACATTACAACTACCTTTTGAAGTAAAAATAAACGATAATTTATGTTCAACGAAATTACAAGAAGTAACATTTTCAGGCCCAAATAAATTGGCAATGTATATCTAAAATACTTTTGTAGTACCTACTATTTTTGATATTATTTAATTTTAGGTGTATTTTTGGATTTTTCGCACTTTTACTATTATGCGGCACCATCTGCGATGTTTTTGTACCGAACGATACAAAAAGTCAGTAAATTTTGTCAAAAAAGTACCGCGAATTTATCATTTAAGAACGTTAAGATTTGTTAAATTTTCTAAATTTTAGAAATATTTAAATATTTTGAAAAATTTAAAAATTGTAATTTTATGTAAATTTTTAAAATTTAATTTTTTCAGAAATTTTCAAGTTCTAATTAATTTTTTTTTTTGGAAATTTGCAATTGTGTGAATTTGTCCTGCTATTTTTTAATTTTTTGCCACTGCGATTTCTTCCTTTAAATTTTATGCCACTGTGCGGACTTAAGGGGACATCCATTAATTACGTGAGATAAAAATGGGGGGAAGGCTCTAGCAAAATCTAACCAAATCTCATTTTGGGGGGCATTGAAAATCTCACGCCAACTTTTGAAATTAAAGAATATGTAGGTATTATAATTCAATTTTGTTAAAAGAATATTAATCAATTTTTTAATTTTTTTTTTTTTGGGGTTTATGATGTCCGCAAAGAATCTCACATCTCACCAAATTTCACCAAGGGGAAGTGGGGTTGAAATTATCAGAAAAATACCTCACGTAATTAATGTAACCAAAGACATTTTAGAAATTTTGAAAATTTTTAAAAATTGTAAGAGTTTGGAAATTTTGAGAATTTTAAGTTTTAGAAATTTTCCAAAAGTTACAATATATTTAAAAATTTTGTAAATTTTTTTAAGCTATCGTGTGAATTTGTCCTGTTATTTTTTAAATTTATGCCACTGTGCTATTTTTTTCTTCCATTTTTTAAATTTGTGCCACTGTGCTAATTTATCCTACCATTTTAAAATTCACCCCACTGTGCGGACTTACCTCCGCAGGCAGATTTTTTTAATAATTTTGAAAATATGGAAATTTTTTAAAATTTTAAGAAATTCTAATAAATTTAAAAATTCCCGATACATGCGTTTAAGGCATAAAAAAGTATGTAAATGACAAATTCCCGGTACTCTTTTGACTTTATTGGTAAATACTTATTAATAATTAAGATTCTACTATTCACTTTGTTTTCAGGCGTTCCCCTTCAAATGTTCCTGGCTTTTTCAGTGTATTCCAATTGCAAAAGCCTTTTTAAGACTAAAATCAACAAAGACGCAGAATCTTTTGGTTGTTTAAACGGCATTAGAGTTCTGTGCATGTTTTGGATTATAGGCGGACATTTATTACGATACTTTTTGGGCCTACCTTTGACAAATATTGCCGAATTTGATTTTGTAATTTATATATTTTTCGCTTTTCGAGTATAATTGTTTTTTTGTAGGAATGGCATGATATAATACTTTTAGCCGGTGAAATGGCTGTTGATACGTTCTTCAATATAAGCGGGTTTCTTGTGGTTTATTTATATTTAACTAAAAAAAATAAATTAAATATATCCTTTGTGCAAATGTATATTCACAGATATTTGAGGTATTTTTTTACAAGATTTTATTTATATATTTATTTATTTTACAAGGATTTCGTAGGTTGACCCCTTCATTGGCTATGGTGATTTTTCTTTATTTTAATATATCAAAGTTTGGATCTGGTCCCATTTGGGGTTACACAAAAAAATTGGAAGATGAATGTGTTAAAAATTGGTGGTTCAACTTAATCTACGTACAAAATTATTTTAGAGAGCAAAATGTAAGTAAATGTATGAAAAAAAAATTCTACGTCTCACTATACTTTTGAAGCCATGCTTCTTCAGGGTCTCAACAAAGTTGGAAAGGAGTTTTTGGAAATTTTTTATAATTTTTTTTAATTAAAAATGTTGCTATTTTTTTTAGTGCGTTCTTTACACCTGGTACTTGGCAGTGGACATGCATATGTTTTTGTTGTCTCCAATAATACTAATAGGCTTAATAAAATATCACAAAACGACATTGTTTGGTTTAGGAATGGCAGTGCTGTCTTCTTCTTTATATAGTGGCTGGTTGACGTACGATAAAAACAGTTTTGTAAATATAAATTCATAAAAAAACTTTTTTAGTCACCAACTTCCTCCAATGACATATCTTAAAGATGAGGATTTATTTACTTTTTTTATTCCCACGCATTTTAGAGGAGTGTCTTGGATTATAGGTGCCATTTTTGGCTATGTGATGTATAGAAGAAAGAACGAAAAGCTGAAATTATCCCAAGTACCTATAATATAAATTTCAAATTAAATCAATAATAATAATTTTTTTCAGACCTTGGTTAATTTTCTATGGATATTATCTTGTGGAGGCTTGATTGCTATAATTTTTTATCATAAATATTTGGCGAATATAGTAAAATATAATATAAAGAATGTCCACAATATAATAGCCAACAGTTGTATTAGGCCTATTTGGTCTATTTTACAATGCGTTGTTATTTGGCTATGTATTGAAGGAAAAGGAGGTAATACTCGTGTATTCTCAAATTTTTTTTCATAAAAGTTTTGTTAATTTGCATTTTTAAAGTGTTTTAAAATTTTATACAAAAAATTAAAAGTATACGAGGTGTGTTCAGAAAATATCGGGAATTTTCTTTTTTTGAAACAAATATTTATTTATTCGCCTACATTAATGTTGTCGCCTTCAAAATAGTCCCCATTGGATATTAGGCACATGTGCCAGCTCTTCTTCCAATACTCGAAACACTTCTACAACTCGATCTTTGGTATAGCCTTTAGTTTCAGCGATGCGCTTTTAATGTCATCTATGCTTGCAAAACGACGGCCATTTAAGGTTCTCTTTATTTTTGGGAATAGGAAAAAGTCAGACAGGGGCATGTCTGGCGAATATGGAGGCTGGGGCATCATTACAGTATTGTTTTTGGCCAAAAATTTTGTTCAAAATTTAACAATTTTAGAACAAATTTTTCTGCCACGCGTTTCATACCCAAAACATTCGAAAAAATTTCATGGGATGAGCCAATCGATATACCAACATCATCAGCGATTTCTCTGATGGTTTATAACCATTTCTTCCACTTTTTCCATGTTTTTATCGGTTGTTAATGTGCTTGTGCGTTCGGGGCGTTCGTCATCTTCAACGTCTTCACGGCCATCTTGGAAACTCTTATACCACTTGTAAACTCTTGTTTTACTTATAGCAGACTCACTATAGGCCTTTGTTAACATCTCACAGGATTTATTTCATTTTTTAAGCAAAATTGTATACAAATTCTTTGATTCATTTCTTTTAACGAACGAAAAATCGCCGAGCTCATAAAACACGTCTAACCTTAGCGGCTGCCACAGACAAAGTAAACAATGAAAACAGCTAAAGTTTTTATCATACTTCGGGGGCATGTATACCAACATAATCAAGAAAATTTTATGACAATCGGACCCTCCGAACCCGCGTAATTTAACAATTCCCGTTATTTTCTGAACACACCTCGTATGTTAAAATGTTTCAGGTTTTGTCAATAGATTTCTATCTGCTCCTTGCTTCAGTGTTCTTGTAAAAGTAAACTACAGCATGTACTTGGTACATATACCAATTATTACCATTTTTTATTTACAAATTAGGTCGCCGCAAACTTATACTTTTATGACTTTGGTAGGTAATTTCTGTTTCGACATTTCAACGTTTTCAATTTTTTTTTTATTTTAGGCACAACACTTTGCTGGGTTTAGTTTGGTAACAATTTGTGCCTCTGTTCTATGGACCTTGGCTTTCGAGTCTCCAATTCAAAAATTAGAAAAATTGTTATTTGGAAAAAATAAAAAATAAAATTTTTAGGTACTGACTAAGTCTTTTATTTCAAAACTAATAATAAAGGGATCTTTGTGAAAAATATATTTCAATAATAATGGGGACCGCAAAAGCACATACAAAACATGAAAACGTGCCATATATAAATTCAAATAATCAACAAAAAATTAAGTTATGATTCATTACTAATGAAACAAAATCATTTTCACGAAGTTAAAATGCGTGTAACCATATTCGTTCTCTTAACCCTTGGTGCCAAATATGGAGATGGCCAAATTTCGCAAAAGAGAATTTTGGATAACTTTGAAAACGCCGCAAGAGGGACACTTTTTACGGGCGAAAATATGGCATTATTAAAACAATGGGTGATTGACAACGAGATGGGCGAGGCGGCTGATTTAATAACGATGCAGAATACGAGGCAAATTCAGATAACCAACAATTTTTTTTTCGATGACAATATAAATGGTACTGAAGTTGTTGACAATGGTTTTACAAATAGGAGTCTATCTGAGAGGATTGCGCAAAAATATAACAAAACCGTCGAGGAAAATGAGTGTTTTCGAGATGTCGTTTCTATGTTTTCCTTTGACAATAAAGATTTTCCACTGGCAAAGAGTAAGTAGATAGAAAATGCTATCAGTGTAATTTTTTTAAATTATATCATTTACCAGTGCTAGATGCTTCAGCAAAAGTTCAACCAGGAGTTTTTTACGGAAATATCCAGAATATGGGAAACTTCGATCAGTGCCTAAATATAAGTGGGGAAATCTCAGGGAAATATTGTACAATAGAATTTAAACCAAACTTTACAGTACTTGCATAAACTAGCCATTAGTGTTTTTTATAATGTATTTTTTTAGAGTTTATCCTGGTCGTTTGGCATATGTATACCATCCAGATGCAATGCGTTAAATTTAAACAATTTTATAAAGTATATGGTAAAAACCATAAAACTTCCTATTGCTGTACAAATAGAAGATAACCTGTGTTGGACAAAAGAAAAACAAAAACAATTTTCAGGGCTTAATATATTGGCAATGTATATTTTATAGTCGATATACAGGGTGTCCCAGAACTCGCGCCACAAAACTGATAGCAATGGAGATGCCAAATATAAAAAAAAAATTTTAGTTAAAAATGTATCAAATGAGAGCAAAAATACGGCAGCCAATACCGAGAGCTCTCGCCTAGGTTAAACTAGTTCTGGGACACCCTTTATTGCTTATAAAGGGTTTACCATAGTCCGCGACCATGCTTGAAACATATTCTTCGATATTTCATGTCATTTAAATTGTGATCTTGAGGTTTGCCTCGCGCGCGAAATTGTGCTTAGGCCTTTCATTAGGGTTATTCCATCGTTTCGGGTGTTACATTTGTTAAACGAAAGTCTACATTTTTATGTATTTTGAAATAACATTTATTTAGTTTAGGAAGGGTTTTTGGAGGACATTGAACTGACCCAAAACTAAGTACAATCCGGAATCCTCCTCAACCAGGGCTTTAGTAATAACCCCATTCATTTGGTATCCCTGAATGGGGGTAGGTGGATTAGTATGCTGCTAGCGCCTTTCCTTGATGGTGTACTTCCTGTTCGTCGCTGTCCGAGTCGGATTTCGGTTCCTGATTAGAATTGTTTGCCCCCCTGTGCGATTGAGTCTTATCTTCAGAACCGAAGTGTTGCCGGCCGCACCCCGCCGTAATTAGTGCCCCCTGACTATGTGGATATTCGTTTAACCTACTGGAATTGTCGACCCTCGAATTATTTTTTTTCCCACTGTGCGTGATCCCAATTCACTTGGGGTTGGGTCCATCTTTGCGCCTCACTGTGCATTGCGGCTATTTTACGCTTAGAAGGGGTTTTACCTAATTTATAACGTCTTAGTAATCTATAGATGTAAACATAAATAAATAAATTTCTTTAGGATTGTTTCTTTTGCCTAATGTTTATCGTAACTTGAGTGATTAATGGCTTCTTAAGTGCCTTTGTGTTTATAATGTTTTTTACTGTTTCGTTTGCATGAGAATCTTGGAAATTGTTTGTGACTAATTAATTTTACCTGAAGAATTATTGTTAGTTAAAGGTTGCGTATTTCGTATTAATTAGTATTAATATGAGGACTTAATCCAGGGGGAGGTACCACACACAATTTGCACTCTTTTGCACTCGGGACAGTTATCACGTATAGAATCGATATTGATTTTTTATTATTTTACGGCGTTAACAAGTTATCACGTGTAAAATCGATATTGATTTTTTGTTATTTTACGGCGCACTTTTCGCACTTGTTGCACTTTTCGCACTTGTTTGTTTATTTATTTATTTGTTACCGATTACCGATATTTCCGCATACTTATATTCGCTTTTCGTACTTTACTATAGTATATATAGTATACGTTTGTATCGTATACGCTGCTTAGGAGGGGTCTCGTTAACTATCTTTGAGCGTCATTACACTTCAAGAGTCAAGACCCAACTTGCCTTTTGACACTAATATGTTGATATAAAAATCAATTTAAATTTGTTAGAAATTTTGAATAGGTACCTATTGAAAGAATAGCAAGTTTTTTGACAAATAACAAAGATGGGAAAGAAAGCCGATACAAAATTTGTTGCCCTTTTTTACATTACTCGGGTTCCACAGGAAGGGTTATAAGAAACAATTTTAAATTCAATGCCTTTTTCTCTATAATGAATATTGGTAAGCCCTTTATGTATGATCCTTTTTACTATTTTGTTCTATTTCAGGTCTATTTTTGTATTTTTCGGACTTTTGTTATTATGCAGCACAATCTGCGATGCTTTCATACCAAGTGATGCAAAAAGTCAGTATTTCTACAAGGTGCGTTCCAAAGTAAAAAAAACTTTTTCTAATGGCGCTATCTATTGATTGAGTTAAAAAGGGCCATCCTTTTGTAAAAGTTTCATGACATTTGAATTATTAGATATAGTAAATTTAATTTGGTTAGCTAGAATTCAATAAAGAATTGTTTTATTTTACTAATTAGCAACTCTATAATAGTTAGTCTGACATTTAACGAAAAAAAATATTCACAATTTTGATGTTCATAAATATTAAATTCCATGATAGTTGAACTTGATGAGGATAAGTGCTGCGAAGAGTCATTCTGTGAAGCTTCCTGTTGATTGGAGCCTCTAAAAACTGTCTTCGATGTTTGAATTTTATTTTGAATGGTTTCTCCTATATAACCCTCAGCAGAAGATGTTGAAGACCATCCCCCAGTCTTTTCAAATCAGGAATACTGTCCCCATTATCAACCAACATGGTGCTGTACTCCTTCGCATAGAATGCCCTGCGTATTTAGCAATTTTTAACGGCAAACTATAAAATGTGTTGATATCAACCGGTTGCACAGTGCATTTACCATTCATAACATTTTCACTGACCTTGATTGTTTCTCCATTGACAGATTCTTCAAAAGTTTTATCATATTTTTCTTTTGACTTAGATGGAAGCAGATTTTGAGTCGCTTCTCTCGCGGCATCCAAAATTCCCTCATTTTCTTCAAAAAACACTCATCTTCAGACAGAATTCTGTTTTTATTTAATTTGTTGTCATGCGTTGCTACGGTTTTCCACTTTTTCCATTAAGGATGAAAAAAATAGAATGATCAACTAGTAAGAAAAGTTCGTTTTCCAGCTCGTGAAAATTGGTTTCACTCGTGAAACCAACCTTTTTCACTTATTGGTCCTAAAGCTGTCTCGAAGATCATTTGGTTATATTCAAAGTCTTCTTGTATAGTTTTGAACAATGTGTTACTTAAGTAACCCAATTGGGTATTTCACTTTGGAACCCACCTTGTACCGACATAATTACTACATTAGACGACTTATCACACCTGGTTTCAGATGTCCCTCTTCAAATATTTCTAGCGTTTTCATTGTGTCCCAATGCCAAAAGGCTTTTTAAGACGAAAATGAGCAAAGGCAATGAAATTCTTGGTTGCTTGAATGGCATAAGGGTCATAAGTATGTTCTGGGTTCTAACAGCGCATGCTATGATAACTTTTTTGAAATTACCTTCAACGGATCTAATCGACTTTCCAATAGTAATTTAACATGTTTTGTGTTGTTTTTTTTTAAGTTGCTTTTCTAGGCTTTAAAGAGGTGGGATGCTTTCATATACTTCGCCGCAGCAATGGCTATGGATACATTTTTGGTCATTGGTGGATTTCTGGTCGTCTACTTATATTTAAACAACAAAAACACTGTTGATTTTTCTTATATCGCTCTCTACTTTCACAGGCTACTAAGGTACATATTTTACTGTATGTTGAAATTCACTCTTTCATCTTTTTTTTAGATTAACTCCATCTTTAGCCATGCTTGTTGTTTATGAGTTATTGGTGCCAAAATTGGGTTCTGGTCCTATTTGGCATTTTCAGGAAGAATCAGCAAACCATTGCAAGACCCAGTGGTGGGGTACGTTGCTTTATATACAAAATTATTTAGGTTTGGAAGGATCGGAAATGGCAAGTATAAATTATTACGTCACAACAAACATTAATTAATATTTTTAGTGTCTTCAGCATGCTTGGTATTTGTCAGTGGACACTCAGCTGTTTTTCTTGTCGCCAATAATAATATACGGTTTGATAAACTACCAAAAAACAACATTGAGTGTTTTAAGTTTAATGGTGCTGGCTATTTCTGCATATGCAGCTTGGTTGACGTAAGAACCCAGATAGCACAGAGACATCTTAAAGATATCTTAAAGATGTCGGAGATATTATTAATTGTAGCGAAAATAACCAATTTCAGATATATATTTATTTAGTTACCCTACCCATCATCGTTGTCAAAACTCAAAATCCTACATTAATGTTGTTTCTATTACACCAAAATAAGATGGTATCTAATTATATCTTACTATGAAGTGGCTGATTATGGGATATAATTTCAATTTTGTCTTTTCAAAAAATTCACTATTTTGTCAAAAAAAAAAAAAAAAAAAGCGGCGGTATTAGGCATTTATAAGATGTCTTTAGAACATTAAATGAAGTTATCTTTAAGACGTCTATCATAAGACGTCTTTCAGACGTTTTTTTTTAGATCTTCAGGCGTTCAGGCATAATACAGACATACAAAAGACATCTTCAAGACGTTGTGTGCTATCTGGAAATTTAATAAAAAATACGTGCAACATTATTTGCAACTTGTTTTTTTTAGAGAAAAACTGGATGCTACGACCTTTCTTCATGAAAAAGGTTTTAAAACGTTCCATATTCCTACCCATCTAAGAGCTGTCTCTTGGATTGTGGGTGTGATTTTTGGTTATTTTATGTATCGAAAAAAGGACGAAAAGTTAAATATATCGCAGGTATTGATATTCATTTTAAAATAAGTAATAAAATAAATTATTTTTTTCAGAACTTGGTCTATTTTCTATTGTTCTTATCCTGTGGAGGCTTAATTGGTATAATTGGCTACCATAAATATTTTGCGAATATATTATTAAAAAAAACCAAAACTTACCACAATATGATGTTTAATAGCCTTCTTAGACCTATTTGGTCAATTTTACTATGCATTTTAATCTGGTTATGTATTAAGGGAAGAGGAGGTAACAATTAAATTAATTGATGTGTGTGGATTGATCCTTCTACTAACACCAGTTATACCTCTAAATCACGTGAATATTTTGTATCAATATTATTCAGTTTTTTGTAGAAGCACCAACACACACGGACCCACAACAAACTAGTTTTTTTAAAGTAATATTTCAGGTCTTGTTAATCGATTTTTATCAGCTCCATGCTTTAATTTTCTTATGAAACTGAGCTATAACATGTATTTGTTGCATATTCCAGTCATCGCCTTTTTTTATTATCAAATAAGATCGCCAATAACTTATTCCCTCTACACTTTCGTAATATTTTGTTGCATTATTTATGATTTTCTATAAACAAAATTTCGTTTTAGATATTTCACGTTTCAAGTTTTAGTATAATTACATTATTGATGTCCATTGTATGGACCTTGGCTTTTGAGTCTCCTATAGAGAAACTTAGTAAAAAATTTATAAAAAAATATAAATAACTTTAGACAGAAACAGTGTTGCTAAGAAAATGGAAACAATAAAAAATTACTCTACTTGTTCTTTTATTTACCTTAACAATGGCCACAGATTTGACATTGAAAAATCATTTTATAAAATTTCAGTGACATATAACGAATAATTATTTATCGGTTTAAAAATGGCTACGCTTCCGCAAGGAGTAATGGTTGATTTAAAAAACCTATTCGAGAATTTAACGAAATGTTCCAAAGATTTGGGCGAAAACCCCGATCATCAGCAGTCTGGTGACGTGGGTCCAAACTGGGAAGAAAATGTAACACTAATTCTGATCAAAATTGACTCTCTTTTGCCTACGTTACCATTGGAGTCGGACGAGTTTGTAAAGCTATTGGCCATGAAAGCTTCAACTTTATACGAAAAGGCTAAGATATACCTTAACCACGAGGTGATAGATAAATGCCAGGAGATGTTGTTGAATGCTTTAAATATTATTGAACATTACTCCAACCATCCTAGAATAGCCTTCCTGTATTTAAGAATTGTAAACCATTTATCTTACAGTTTGTCTCGTAAAGGAGAGTGCGACAAAGCTAAGGAACTTTTGGAGAAAGTTATAGAGAAGGTTTTTGAGGAAACTCCTTTGGTCTACAGGTTATTTCCTTTTGGTAAACACGCACTCTGTCTAAAAGACATCCGCATATCTTTTGGGACAGGGTGTAATCAAATTGTACACCACAAGTAACATTGCTCTTATAGCACAGAAGAACTCTTCTGCGACATTGAAAGTGACCAAAGCCAGTGCGATTATAAGTTGAACAAGCTTGTGATTAACAATATGCAGATGTTGGGCTGGATTTACGGAAAATTGGGTTTATGCGACTCCCATACGGCAATGCAGCATAAGGCTTTGCAAAAACAAATTGAAACTGAAGATATTGAATCGTTGCAAATTGCTATAAAGTGTTCCAGATTGGCTTCCCTGTTTTTAACCCAGTGTCAATGGGTTCATGCTAGGTATGAACACAGATGGTTAAATTTGGTATTATTAGATTTAACCTTTTTTCCATACAATTGTGGACCATTAAGCACACTATTAACGTGAAACTTCGTTAAACCCATTAATTTGAAGAAGTTTCACTTTAACAATGTTTCTGTTGCATCGTAAAATTATTTGGAATCCATAGGTATCATTTATGTGCCGCACAAACTATTTTGGACACCATAGAGCCAGAAGATGCCCACTCAAACGCAGAATTAGTGAAAACGCAAGCTGACCTTTCTAAATGTTTTATGTACTACGCACTTCATATCTATGGCATGAGTAAAAAACAGTTGATTGATAATGCTTTATCGACAGGAACGTCAGGTGAGAATATTTAGTCGAGTTTCGTTTCTGTTGAATGATCAATTTTATATTATTAAGAATGTAGATGTAGATATTTTTTCTTTGACTCTAATTCTAGACTTTTCACCGTTTGTCAATACCTCTCCCCCTGAAGAAGCAGTTTTACCCGATTCCTACGAATTTCCAAACATTACTGTGGACCTACAGGAAATACCCGCATCACTCATAACCACGACCCAACAGGCTAGATTACTATTCCAGCACGTTTTCAAATGGTTAAAGCGTGTGCAACTCTATTACAACCTGAGGGATTTTCCACTGGAATACGTCAATGCTGTTTTGGATTTATCCGAGCTCTACAAATACTTGTCATTTTATGAACCCGATTTGGATGGACAGTACAATGTTCAGAAGAAACGCTACGACGCTTTGGAAAGTCTGAACACAATACTGAAAGAAATAAGGCCGAACTGTTACGTGGCTGTGAGTGTGGAGTTGCTGAGGGAGTTAACTGAAGTTCAGCTGGAGTTAATGGGGATCAACCTTAAGAGGATATACCAGGCTGAACGTAAGTTAGGATTTTATCCATAAGGTCTTAACTTTTGACACTTTGTGTGGGGTTAATTTACAAGAACTTTATTAACTTATGAACCCAAACAAATAGTCAGTCTTAGCTATATTTATTTAGATGCTTCTGTAGCTGAAGATACTTTAAAACGAAGAATGGCGGCTGTAAATGTTTTGCACAAAAAACTGGGTAGTGTGGGGGGTATAATGAGCCGTCCGGATGTGGTGACTGTTTACGAAAATCCCGATGTTGCAGTTGAAGATGCAACTCAAAAACCAGATGAAGAAGACGAAGAAGAGGAAGCAGACGAAGAGGAGGAAGCAGACGAAGAGGAGAAAACAGACGAAGTGGAAGATGATGCAGAAGAATATGATCAAGAAAAAGATGATGAAGGAACGGTGACTGATGGAAAAGACTTAGAAACATCCCTCAAAGAGAGCAGTGAAGTTTTGAGCACCAAAGATAGTAAAGTTACTGTGACAGAGACTGTGGACAGTAAAACGTGTTTGTAAAAATTGTATTTGAGCTAAATAAAATAATACTGTATCATGTGAAATCCTTTATTATTTCTGTATTAATTTGGTCATTATTATTTTTTACTCCAAGGTTTTAAAAAATATAAGGCCTATGTAGATTATTCAATATAAAACATCGATTTAATTGGGACACTCTTTATAGTTCGGACTCCAAACAAAAAACGATATAAATGCAGTCCTAGATATATTTATTTGGATGCTTTGGCAACAACGAGGTGATAGGTAAATTCCAAGAGATGATTTAAATATAATTGAACATTACTCCAATCATCCTAGATGAATTGTAAACCATTTATCTTACAGTTGGTCTCGTAAAGGAGAGTGTGACAAAGCGAAGGAACTTTTGGAGAAAGTTATAGAGAACGTTTTGGAGGAAACTCATTTAGTCCACAGGTTATTTTCTTTTGGGTAAACACGCACTCTGTCTAAAAGACATCTGCATTGATAGACTTCAGGATATCTTTTGGGACAGGGTGTAATCAAATTATACACCACAAGTAACATTGCTCTTATAGCACAGAAGAACTCTTCTGCGACATTGAAAGTGACCAAAGTCAGTGCGATTATAAGTTGTGATTAACAGATGTTGAGCTGGATGAAGCTCAAAAACATGATGAGGAAGATGAAGAAGAGGAAGTAGACGAAGTGGAAGACGATGCAGAAGAATATGATCAAGAAAAGACGATAAGGAACTGATGGAAGACGTTTTGAGCACCAAAATTACTGTAAATAACACTTAATAATGTATTTGAGCTAAATAAAACAATACTATCATTTGTAATTATTTATTCATTTTTTAGTACATTAATTCAGTCATTATTATTTCAATGCTATCGCTAAATTAATTAAGTATATTTATTTATACACTAAATACATACATATACAAAAAATATTAAATTAGTGTAAGATTACCTATATCACAAAGAAAAATCTAAAAATTGTTCCTTTCAAAAACAATGAAAATAAAATGAGGCTATTAAAAACACTAGCACGTTTAAGAAAATTTACGATTGTAAATTAAATAAATTCTGTTATTTTACGATGCCTTTAGCATATTGAATTGAATCTGTAAACAAAAATAACCATTTTAGAAATCTATAGGAAAAACATTGTTCCTACACTGTTTAAAATATCTGTGGTGTAAAGAGTAATCCTAAAATGGTGTCAAAATCCAACACCAAGTGGTGTTAATATAACACCATAAATTATGGTTGAAAATGAACACCAAAACGGTGTTTATCTAAAAATATTTGAGAAGTGCACCTACACAGAAAAAAAGGAATAGTTCATTTAACTATATTAATTTAGTTGACCCATAAGTAAGTATTTATTTTTTTGTGGATCGCGTGATGTTCTTAAATCTCGCCTCTGTTGACTTACATGAAGAATATATAACCTCAGGTAGTGATTTGCTTTGGTGTGACACTACAAGTTGTTTGATACTAAAAAAACCTTAAATAGGTGGAAACAGCTGTCAATACTTGAAGTATTTTAAGTTAGTGGAACGAACTAAAAACATTATCTCTAGCGAGTTGAATGTTCCATTTTCTGGAATAATACCACTGGTAATATACTAGTAATGCGTCAAGGAACTTCCTGTTTCCTTTTTTTTCCTTTTTTTCTGTGTAGTATAATTTGACCACAAACACATAATATTTAACACTGAAACGGAGTTCAATTTACACCAGGTAAAATTTATTTTAATACTGTGTGAAAGTTAAATTAACACCATTTTAGTATTTGAATTTACACCGGACCAACGAACCCTATTTAACACCATTTTGGTTTGTATCGATATAGACCACATATGGTGTTAATTTGGTGTTAAAATGGTCATGAAATTTTGAACAGTGTAATCCAAGTAATAAAATGTAAAAACAAAACTCACCATTTCGTTTATTTCATCAGACTCCTCGACGTGGAGGCTGCAGCATTGGGCCTTCTGATTGGCGGAGGAGGAGGCGCAGGTCTTAGCCCTCTCGACGTTGAAGGTTGAGGCACGAAAAACTCCTCGGTGTCTTCCTCGGAGGTGGGGGTGGGGGAGGAAGCCAAGAAATCGCTATCGTCGTCATCCGTATAGTCGTCATCTTCCAACATTTGGCGGAAATCTTGAATGGACTCGTTCAGAGACCATAGTTGGGTTAGAAGCGACAGATCCAGCTGTCTTAAACCGTACTGAAAAGAAGAAAACAATTTTGAAGACGATTTGGCACCTCGAGGACGAAATATAAATTTTCGCATACCTCGAGTTATTTTTGTGTTGTCATTATTAACTACCGTTATACTTATTATCATATTTATTATTTCAAGTTACCATATTAAGTGGGAAATTCGCAAGGCACGTTTATAAGAACGATCTGCAAGCTTGTTTAACCTTTTCTACTTTAGCAGAATTTACGATGGTTACGTAACTGGATACAAGTTAAAAACAAACAACATTATGTAGTCGCAATTTTAAACAAAACAGGGTAAAAAAATAATACAGTTTAAGTACGTTCACTACCTAATACAGTACATAAGTGGCAAATATTAGGTGCTTTCCTTTCATTTTTGAAGTGAGCCAAGCAAAAGTGAGATAAGCGAGGCCACTTACGCGCACTCATCTTACCTAAAATAGACCAAAGGAACGGTTGGTAAGCCTATTTTCTCTAAAAGTCACACTTGACAGTTTAACCCTTAAGCCTGAATTATAGATTGCCTTCCTTCCTTCCTCCCGTAGTCGTGCCCGTACGGTACGGGAATATATAACTGGCAATACGATTTAAATAAACATTTTTGACGTAATTGTCACCATTAACATTGCCCGTTATTAATTTTAATTAAACTTAACAATTATTGATAATTTAAAATATTAAAATTACTTAAAAATATGATATTGTTAAGAAAATATTTTATTCTTTGATTTTTTTTATTACTATAATTGCAAAATTTTATCACAAAGTATTAAAAATACCTAAACGGGAAATGTTAATGGTGACAATTACGTAATGTTCATCTTCTACGGGAGGAAGGAAGGAAGGAAGGAAGGCAATCTATAATTCAGGCTTTATGTTCTGTGGTTTAACCATTTCCCTCAACGGTTTAACGCAAAGATTAAAGACTTAACGAACAAAATGTCGAATCAAATAATACAGGTAGTTAAAAATATAAATCCAATTTAAACAATAATAAATACCTTTTTTTTTCTTTAATTTTATAGAATGTAATATTTAGCAGCGATTCTGAAAATACTAGTTTAATCGTATCGTATCATCGTAATCGTAAATTACTATTTAAATAGTCATACCTACAATTGTAGGTATTCTAGTTGCCGAATGAATCATTTAATTTGAAATCCGAATGAAAATATGCGATTAATAATCGCGAATTACTTAATTCGAAAATAAACGGCGAGTATTAATCGCATACTTTCATTCGAATTATCAATTCGATTAAATTATTCCGATATTGAAATCCGAATGAAAGTATGCGATTTATAATCGCCGATTATTTAATCGAATTATCATCCGATTATTGAAGTAATATCGGTTATTGATATAATCCGATTATGCCCATCACTAATATTGTTTTAATTTTCTTCTGTTTTGTTTGATAGAAAGTGTACAACCTCACTTTTTGACGTGCATCTATCCCCACCACCAAGTAATCAAAATTTCTCATTTGTAAGTGTGCTCCGGAGGTTGTGCTTGATCGGTAAGGGGGGAGGTAAAATTCTCACTTTGGCTTACCTGTCATTTTGCAAATGGAACGGTCTCTAAAGTGAGATAAACCAAGGTGAGGTAAGAATATCTAAGAATCGTGGCAAAAGGAAAGCACCTATTGTGTAAGTGTTGTTAAACTTAAGAATAAAAAAATTATATTTTTGAATGTCAAAAACAATCATTATTTGTCTAATAAAAAACATTTTGTTTGTTTTTACAATTTCTTGTTTGTTTAAATAACTTAATTTAAGTAGTTTGGTGTGATTTATATAATTAAAAATGAAAAACATGTAGGACTTATTCGCACAGTGGCATACATTTAAAAAACGGTAGGAAAAATTCGCAGTGGCATAAAATAAAAAAGGCAGACAAAATTGGCACAAGCATACATATAAAAATTTTAAACATTTTTGTAAAGTTGCGACAAAAAAGTCCACCAACGGTTTTTTATTAATGGTATTTTTTGTTTACATATATTTTCATACCTAAATATCTAAAACACAATTATTTTGTAACATTTAAGGTTAAATTTCAAATCGCATTAGGTACTTAAGTCTTGATTCATAAATTAAAACATGGTAGGACAAAATCGCACAGTGGGATAAATTAAAAAAAGGTACGAAAAATTGGCACATAGGCATACAAATTTTCAAAAATATTACAATTTTAATTTTTAACCGAACCGAATTATTTAAATATATATTTCCATACCTAAATATCTAAAATGATTAGATATTATTTTGTAACATTTTAGTAACATGTAAAATGTCAAATTGCATTAGGTACTATGCTCCACACCTCAAAGTCCCACCACGTGACCAAGTGCGGAACGCAGTCTTTTAAAAATTTGGCATTTAAGGCTTTTCAGGTTATGTATCTGTCAAAGTATAGTCAACGAAAGAAATAATATTATGTTTAGGCGTTAAAAATGTATAACATTACAATAACAAGAATTTAAGAATATAAATATTGCATTTAATGAAATTGTGTATGGTGCCAAATAGTAATATTTTTGTGTATTTGGTCCAAATATCTGGTATTCTCCATAAAATCTATTTTTGTTATAATATTAATTAATAATTATAATATTATAATATTATTATTCCATAATAGAGAAGCTAGAATTTTTTTAAATAAATACTGTTTAGTTAAAATTATTTTATAATACAAAATTAGATGATATTTTTTGTTCTAATACATTAACCTACCTTTGATACAGATATTCTTATTTCATAATAGATAATTTAGATTTGTTTTAATAAATCCTGTTTAGTTAAAACTATTTTATGGAGAAATGTAGACCCAATGCACAAAAATATCACTTATATTGCACCTTACACTTTGGAATTTCATTAAATGCAGTATTAACGCTTAAAAATAAGCGGTAACACTATAAATATTATTTCTTTCATTGACTATACTTTGACAGATACATAACCTAAAAAGCCTTAAATGCCAAATTTTCAAAAGACTGCGTTCTGTACGTGGTCACGTGTTGGGACTTTGAGGTGTGGAGCATAGTACTTAAAAAATGGTAGGACAAATTCGCACAGTGGCATAAATTTAAAAAATGGTGGGAAAAATTCGCACAGTGGAATAAATTAAAAACGGTAGAAAAAATTGGCACATTTAAAAAATTTCTAAAATATTACAATTTTGTTTTTTAATTATATAAAGGCGAAATATTTTTTTGTAAAGTTGTGCCAACCGGTTTTTATTGATGGTATTTTTTGTTTATATATTTCCATACCTAAATATCTAAAACACGATTGTTTTGTAACATTAAGGTTAAATGTCAAATCGCATTGGGTACTTTCACTGCCTTTAGGCAAATAGAGCAATTCCATTGTTTGCTTTTGCCTAAATTAGCTAAAAACAGACGTTAAATTATTTGTCTAAACTTCAACAATGCAAATCCCAACATCCACGACGCATTGTTTTTGTTATTTTCTCTACTTTATCTAATTTAAATACCAGACACCACACATGACTCACATGTGTTTGATATTTGAATCAAACATGTATAGTAGGAATATTAATGTATCGTGAATTCCAGGCTCGATTTAAACTTCAAAGCGTTTCATTGGGCGCATTGAAATTGCCAATATCTCGCGAGAGATACCTTAAAAACAAAGTGGCACGAAAGGTCTTGCCACTCAGCTGACATAACTGTACACCTCACTTAGACCTCTCCGATCTTAGCTCTTCGCCGTATTAACAGAATATTGTTGTTTACCGACCCAACTTTCAAACATAATACACTCACAGGCAAAATAATCGATCCACACAAATTTTCGATGAATTTCAATCGCAAATAACTTTTTTATTTGATGTCGGATTTAAACGAATATTAAAGAATATTGTAGATTAATTAATGGACAATCGCTCACATTTTAAAAAATTACTAAAAAATAGACGTACGTTTATAATATACAGGTTTAAACAAAAAGATGTTTTTTTAACATAAGTTTAAGACACTCTGTAGAGTGGCAAAACCGTATATTGTTCTAAATTAAGTTTAATTTATCAAGTCACATTTATTCTTAACAGTTTTGTTTTTAGTTCACCTCGATATATTTATTTTTGTGGAAAATATGGATTTTTTAAAAAAACATTGCAATTTCCAATATTTTTCTGTATGAAGAACTAAGGTTGCTATGGTCCATCCATAGGCTATGGAGAATGACAGTGACAGTTTTGTTGAATCATCCCATACTTGGACATATGTCATACACCGCTTTCAAAAGCAATCAAATTGTTTTTCGCAAATTACTATTTAAATTTTAGAGTGTCTTCTTACTTTAAAAAATGGATATGTCTCCGACTGATGTTGCCAGAGCCATTAATTTACTGGATGGACGGTCACAGTATTACGTGGCAAGTGTTTTAAACGTCACAAGAAGTAAAGTACAAAGGGCAACATCAGTCGGAGACATTTTTAAAAGTAAGAAGACACTTCAAAATTATATTGTATATTATAAACGTACGAGTATTTTTTAGTAATTTTTAAAATGTTAGCGATTCTCCATTAATGTCTCTACAATATTCTTTAATATTTGTTTAAATCCGAAATCAAATAAAAAAGTTATTTGCGATTGAAATTCATCGAAAATTTGTGTGGATCGATTTTTTTGCCTGTGAGTGTATGTACATCTTGAAGATGTTTTTTGTACTGTAATTTTTACAAACCTTCGCCAATCTCAACAAAATTTTAAGGGGACGTAAATCAAAGTGTTCTCTTTAAAACGCAACGGCGACCTTGACCGTACTGTAAGCGGAAATGCTCGTATTAAATAAATAAATGATTCAGTACGCTTCTCGATATTTTGGGTCATATAGGTGGGTGTATCAAAATGACTTTGCACGGAATACAGATTGGTTTGTTAGCTTGTTAACTCGGTCAGATCTTTCTCTAATACATTTTTAGAATGCTAAAAACGACTTAATTACTCTATTTGATCTTTACTTGTTGCT